CCCCCCATGCACAGGGGTTTCTTTTGTTTGTTAGATTTTGTATTTGGAGGGAGGGAGGGAGGATCTTGCCCAGGTAACCAGCTATTAACATTTGGGGGAGAGTCCTTTCAGACAGCCTCTGGGTTCCTAGCGGGTGGATACAGCGCGTTTCCTTTAACCAGCCTCTGTTGGGGGGCAGCTCAGCTCCCTTCTTCCTCGGAAAGCCTCGCTGCAGCCAGCCGTCTTGACTATGCATCACAGTGCATTAGAAAGCCGGAGTGTTCAGCGTGCAGCATTTTGCTAAATGTACGCCGTTACCACCACCGTCATTAAGATAGAGAACAGGCCCCACATTCTAAAAGTTCTCTCGTCTCCTTTGCCCTTGATCCCTCCCTCCACCTCTGGCCCCAGGCAACCAAGGTCTGCTTTCTGTCACCAGAGTTCCAGGCAAAGGATTTAATTCCAGCTGCTCAGCAAGCCCCGGTAAGGTTGGCTTTGCCTTCATCGTCATTACTCCCAACTTGCAGATAGTAAGGTTGGCAGATTAGCAAATAAAAACATAGGCCTCCCAGTCAATTTCAGATAAACAACAAACCCGTTTTCAGTATAAGGGTCTAAGACGTCTTAGAATGTCTAAGGCATCTCAGCCCTGTCCCCAAGGGAGGCAGCTTGCCCGCTCTGCTGATGAGTGATGCCCATCTCTCTGCCATGTGAACTGCCTGGCCTGGCTTCTTCTGTGTCTTGGATGAATAAAGCCAGTGTGATTTATGCCTCTGCTTTGCCTGTACTACCCCCATAAATGAAACCTGTGAAGGAAACACGTAACTGGCTCGCTTTGGCCAAGTGTTAGGCCATCTGCTAAGTGATACTGAACTCTATGAAACGATGCTTGCTTCTTTGCAAACGTTCTGCCAGCGTCAGGTATGGCAACGGGGACAAACCGTGGACGCTTGCGAAGGACCCTTCAGTGGAGAGGAGGGCTGTGCGAGACGACATGCACTGGTTCAGTCTTCCTGCCTGCCTGGTGCTGAGCCAGCCTGGCTCCTTCCCCTCTCACCCGATCTCCCCTCTTTCCCATTCTTACCCTCTATTCACATCGGGGTGGCCCATTCATCTCCCGCCTGGCTCACTTCCCCCTCCCGAGAAGACCTCTGCTTCTGTCCCACTAGTCAGGGACCAGCCCTTTCTCAAGGCCCACCTCAAGCCTCACCTCCTCTGGGAAGCCCCCCTTGATGGCATGATACGGCTTTCTCTGATTCCTGTGCCACTTCATGTTTAGACCTTACCATGTTCCTCTTTTTGTGTTTTCTCTCCCCTCATTATTTAGTTGCAAACCCCAAATATTTAAATAAAGGGATGAGTGAAGGCTGCGGGCATGTATACCCCCCCCGAATCCTACTTTAGTAGCTTCTCAGGGATTTGGGGGAGAAGGAAAATGGGGGGAGAAGGAAACAGTAGTGAAACACCAGTCCCAGCCCTGTGGCTAATCAGCTTGCAGGGCCTTGGCTAAGCCACTTCATCTCCCTAAGTCTCAGGTTGCTCCTCTTGTCAAGTAACCTTGTCAAGGCGGAGGAATTGTCAGGTGCCCTGGTCACAGTGGAAGGATGGCCATGTTAATGGTGGTGAGGATCATGTACCTCATGGGCCAGTTTTGAAGACTAAACACGCTGATATGCAAGCTTCAGGCTGATGTTCTTTGGTATCAGATGCCACAGCCCAGATTGCTTTGAGCTTTGGCTCTTTATCCTAAGAATCTGGGAGTTTGATTATAATGGGCCTCGGAGAAGCGGGATGGATAAGTCAGCATTAGAAACAGAGCCTGTAGAAAGGCCACTCTGTGTCATTTCCCTTGTCCTGGTCACTGCGCTGGGGTAGGTATGGGGCTGCGAGTACAGAGAGGGGGAGCCAGGTGATATTTTACAACTGGCCAGTTACGTCTGCTCCCTGTAAAAGGCAGAGCTGCACAGGTACAGGAGATGGTGCTGGGATAGAAAATATATATTATCTGAACACTGTCTTAAAAAAATGACCAACCAAACAAAACACTTCATAATAGAAGAACAGAAGGAGTATGTTTTCCTTATGATCTCTTGAAATAATTTTTTGAAAGAGTGGACTACACGGTAATACCAGGTAATTCTTTCTCTGTATGCTACTGGTTTTAATACCTAAACTATGAGCTGTCTGAGACCAGTGGAAAAGGCAATTATTTCGATGGAGTTGAAGAACTTGTGGAGTCGATGAGTGACTTTTGGCAGACTTACCTTCAGCTTACTGTGTGTTTATCTTCCCCCTTCCCGCAGTGTTAGAGAAGGGAGGGGGAAGATTCTTTGAGAAGTCAGCTCGGACTGTAAAACCTGCTGGGAGAGTTTTTGGTCTGTGACAGGTATTGGAACCTGAATTCTTGTTGACTTTCTCCCCAGATCTTGGCCTTAGGGTAGAGGCTTCTGCAAGACGCTCTCCTGCAGATGCTTAACCCAGGCAACCCTGCTGTGATTCCAACCAATTTGGGAGCAGCTGTGACATTTATGAGCACATGCCGAGGAAGGCAATTGCCTTTTAAAGATCACTTAATCAGTTAATAAAAAAAATAATTGCATGCAAGGAAGATAGGATTCTGCTTCTACTTAATGGAATTAGCAGAGATGGGGGGGGGTATAAATCCCAGGTGTACAATTCTATAATACATCATCTGTATATTGTATTGTGTGTTCACCACCCCAAGTCAAGTTTCCTTCCATCACCATTTATCCCTCCTTTACAGTCTCCTACCTCCCCCCATCTCCCTTTCCCTCTTGTAATCACCTTACTGTTATCTGTCTCTGAGGGGTTTTTTGTTTGTTTGGTTTTGGTTTTTTTGCTTAATCAGGAAGGGTCAATTTAAAATAAGATGCTAGAGTGATATGTGCCCTAAGAGGAGTCTTTGGTACCTCACCAACCTTGAATTGGAGGCTCTTTGCCATAAATGTGTGCTTTCTGGATCTTTCAGCTGAGACGGGTCTTTGGAAATTGCCTGCCCCCCTTTCCGCCAAAGTACTATCTTGCGATGACCACATCTATGGCTAATGAGAGGAGGGACCAGTTGGAACATTATTTGCAAAATGGTAGGTATTTGGATTTTTTTATGGACTTAATGAGATATAGGTTGCACACTATAAAGTCCACTCATTTAAAGTGCATATTAGTATATTAGTATATTTATAGGATTGTGCAACTATCACCGTGATCTAATTTGAGAACACTTTTTATCACTCCTAAAAGAAACCTCATACCTATCATGTCACTTCCTATTCCTCTCCCCGACTAGCCCCTGTCACCCATTTCTGTCCTCATAGCTTTGCTTGTTCTGGACATTTCAGGTAAATGGAATCTTGCACTATGTGGCCTTTGTAATTGGTTTTTAAAATACTTTTCTCTAGCTTAGTTTATAGTAAGAATACAGTATATAATACATATTACATACAAAATACATGTTAATCAACTGTTTATTTATCAGTAAGGCTTCTGGCCATCACTTGGCTATTAGTAGTTAAGTTCTGAGGGAGTCAGAAGCTATACTGTGATATTTGACAGCATGGGGGTCGGCATGCCTAACCCCTGCATCGTTCAAGGGTCAGCTGTATACAAGGAAAGGTGTGTTCCCTTCCACCCCAGGCCCCCAAGCTTCTAGAAGTATACACTATTACAAGCAGCTGTGTATCCCTCAGAAACCATCTGTGTGTATACTAGGGTGTATATACATCCCTGTTTGTCCAACACTAATTGAAACTTATTCTACACAGTTTTCTGTATCTGATTTTTAAAAACTTTTTATTCTGATGTATTCTCTGACTTACAGAAAAGTTGCAAAAAGTAATGCAAAAATGTATGTGTACTTCTTTTTTTAAAAAAAAAAAATGTTTTTATTGATTTTAGAGAGGGAGGGAGAGAGAAACACTGATGTGGGAGAGAGAAACATCCATTGGCTGCCTCCCACTCACCCCCCACCAGGGATCAAGCCTAAAACCTGGGCATGTGCCGTGGCTGGGACTCGAACTGGCCACGGATGATGCTCAACCAACTGAGCCACACTGGCCAGGGCTGTCTGCCTACCCTTTACCCAGGCTCCCCAAACGTTAACGTTGCACAATTGGTTTGTCTTTGTCTCTCCCTGTCCCCAGCGTGTGTCTGCGTAGTCATACATATATTATACAGAAGTTACTGAGATACTTGTGTTGCGCACACAAGCCACTTCACCCTTAAATAGCTCTGGGTGTGTTTCCTAAGATAAGGACATTCCCTTTTATCACCACAGGATAGTTAGTTATCGAAATCAGGCAGTTAACAGTGATACGGTCATGTTATCCAGAGACCTTATTCAAACTTCACCGACTACCCCGCTGATGTCCTTCACAGCGAAAGAAAAAAAGTGTTTTCTTCCGTATGCTGGGCTTTTCTCTTAAAATATGTATCTCACAGATTGTTCTAGGTCAGCGTTACAGATTTACTTCATTATTTCTCATGGTTGCTCATTTTTTTAAGCACAGTAAGTGAAAATTCCAGGAGTTTCCCATTCGTCTTTTGTAGTGCAGAATATACCTCTTTCAGACCTGTTAAATAAGCCCTTTCAAGGTCAACATGTAATAATTTTTGAATTTTCACTCTCTCTTGGTTTGTTTTCTCACGTCTTAGAGACATACTCCTTTAACCACAGGCCTTTTCGCAAAAGATCGCAGTGCTTCAGGGGTCAGTTCCAGGCCTGGCCTTTATCCGTATCATCAGCGTGGCTCGCGCATCCTCTCCCGCAGGTGGAGATTGAGCCACTGGGGGATGCACTAGTAAAGTGAGATTTCTGGAAACACCACCTGGGATTGTTGTGATGGGTTCGTGTTGTCAGGGCTGCCTGGAGGAAGGAAGCTTTGCAGATTTTCATGTATTCGAGAGGCCACGAGCTCTACTGCCTCCAAGGAGGCAGCAAGGCCTGGAGGGTACCCTGATGGTCAGAGCAGTTTAATGGGGAAGTGAGCCCACCCCATGCTAACCTGGCTTGCTGTCCATGTTTTGCAGTAACCGTGGACCCAAACATGTTGAGAAGTGATGTCTTCGTTGATTTTTTAAAGCAGGTACAGCTGGTAAGCTCTCTCTTCTTCGCTAAGGTCGTTATTTCGCTGCAGAACACGTCTCTACGTTAGCCACGTGTGTTTCTGGCCGTCACAGAGCCTGGACTCAGGTAAAATACATTCATTTGGAGGACATTGGAGGATGGTTCCTATTTTGTTCTTTTGTACACCTCAAAACTGGCCATGAAGAAGAGAACTTTTATCATGAAGGGCCCCCTGACAATGCAGGGACGCCACTCTGTAGCTGAGATTTCCAAGTGTGCCATGGTGAAGCCAGCCGGGCCGCAGTGACAGTCTTGCCTCCATCACCTGCACATTCTCTGCGCCTAACTGTACTATCGTAAGTGGGTCACAGAGAAAACCCAGCCTGCACAGCAACTCGCTTTCCTGTGTTGGTCTGAACCGCTGCCCTCTTGTCCACTCGAGGCTGGAACTTTCCCAAGTACATCTGTTTAGCACATCACTCCTTCTAGTTGTATATATGGGAACATTTTTACACCTGAAGGTATGTTCTTGACTGAATGGAAAAGCTTCGAAAGGGTTGGCTGTATTGAACTGGGTCCCTAGCTTCGGGAAGAATGATATCTGGATCAGGTTTGTAAAAAGTGGAAGCGGATTTTATTTATTCAGTCATTCAACTGTGTTGATATACTTACTATTCCACTCACCCTGAGAAATGACCCTAGAGCCTTCTACAGTATTGTGAAGTCATTTGTATTTTCACATATATTTGATGGTTTAAAGGACACACACAGCCCTGGCTGGGTGACTCAGTTGTTCAGAGCATTGTCCCATACACCAAAAGGTTGCAGGTTCGATTCTCAGTCAGGACACACCTAGGTTGTGGGCTGGATCCTCAGTCCAGCAGTGTGCAGGAAGCAGCCAATCGATGTTTCTCACATCAATGTTTCTCTCTCTCTCTCTCTGGAAACTGAGCAGCAATCAGTCTCAGCTTCGAACTTTCCTAAATTCTGATGACCTTCCAGCGTCTCTCGTGTGTCCGTGACATTTTAGAGCACTCCCCCAGGAACTGCACGGTCCCTAGGACTGCACACATCCCGAGCATCGCGTGTCTTCACCAACGATGAGCACACACAGAGCCGCGCTGAGCTGGGGGCGTTGCCCTCAGCTGGTGCCCAAGCACACGGAGCAACTGGCTTCCATAGACAGGCTTCAGTTTACACACTTCAGATTTTTGCTGTAGCAGAATCATAAATGACTGCATTTTATGGACTTTTAGGGATGCCTGGAAATATTAAAAATGAGAATTAAAACCTGAAACCACCTAGGGTCATGTGGATGATTTTTTTTTTTTTTTTCTAAAATGGATGCTTTGTTGTTTATTTGGAAAATTACTCAAGCTACGTGTCATTGCATTGCCTTGGCCCCTCTCCCTCCCCCTCCCAACCCCTACCTTGCCCCCCAAAGCTCCATTCCCCAATTCTCTGCCCTGGGCTCTCCAGGCTTCTGGGTACTGTAACCCTCAGGGCTGGGGAGAGGATGCTGCTGACTGTCCCCCTGGGAGGGGCCCCGCTGAAGGCACTGCGGGCTTACTGTGCCTTCCCTTTGCTCACAGGACACCTTTAATATCACTACCAAGAAAGCCACTCTGGATATATTTCTGCCTGATGGAAGGAGCATTCAAGTCGAAATCCTGACATCAGACACTGCCGAAAGAGTCCTAGAGGTAAACTTCATCTAAACTCCAGCCCCAGGACTGACTGCAGGAAGCACTGTTCAAAGGCAGGGACTAGGATACGGCTACCTTCTGGAAGCTTCCTGCCTACCATTTCACCCTGGATGACTTCCCTGTAGACATGCTGGGATTTTCTGGGAGGCTGGCTGAGGAACCTGAGCTATAGTCAGTGCCTTGGGCCTCCTTGGTTAGGAAGGAGAGTGGAGCCCAGACGAGCCTGAAACTGGCCGACCCAGATGGGCTGGCGACAGGCTCTGGGGGAGAGTGACATAGATTTCTCAAAGGCTGAGAGTCGACCCTTCTCCCTCACAGCGAAAGCCCCTGGAGCCAGCACCTCAGCAGGTCTGATCCTGTGCCAGGCCTGAGTCTTAGTCGGTCCTCTGAGGGCTCCAAGGGCGAGACCCTGAAAGCATCCTCTCCTTCAGATGGGGTCGCACCCAGCTCTGCCCCTGGGCCTGTCCTCCCTCTGAGCTGGGCTGTGGAGGGGACATCGTCTTCTCACACCCACGCGCTGTTCCCAGGCCCTCTTTCTTTGGAGGGTTTTAGTTCTAATCCTCCAGAGAAACACAGAATATAAAGTTATAAACAGGAGGAAGTGGGAAAGTTTCTGGGACTTGCCGAGGACAGTAAACTCTTGCGCCGGGGTCATGGTATCTGACGCCTTCTGGGTCTGAAATGGACAGAAGTGCTCCCTGTGTGGGTCCAGCTCTCGTCACCTTTACCTAAGACTGTGTGTGTGTGTATGTGCACGATTCTCTGCATCGTGACTCTTTCTAGCCAATTAATGTCCATTGTGGTGGGACAGACTTTTTTTCTTCACTCAAAAAATTTTCTAAAGCAAGTATGTACCATTTTAGATTCAGAAAGCATTTGTTGTAATGTCTGCTAGCCCATTAGAGCACTTTTTACTGTGTTTACAGGCAATGTCAAATTCTGTACATCCCAGGAAACATGGCAGACATTTCTAACCCCCCCCCCCCTTTTCTTGTCTTTGGTTAAAGGTGGTGTCACACAAAATTGGACTGTGTCGGGAGCTCTTGGGCTACTTCGGCCTGTTTCTCATGCGGTTTTGCAAGGAGGACCATGTCTCTGGTAGGAAGGACAGAGGGGATGCCGTGTGTGGAGGCGCTCAGCCTAGAGATGCAGGAGCACAGCTGAGGGGCTGCTCGGCCCCCAGGGGAAGCCCCCAGTGTGCAGTCCTACGGCTGTCCTCCCCTCCTGGGTGGAAAGTTTGGGGGTGGCTTGGCCACTGGATCTGTGGTGTCCCGGCAGAGGCGCTGGCCCTCTCTGGGCCTTAGTTTCTTCGTCTGTATCACAGTGTAAAATACTGCTCACTCAAGGTTCTGGTCTTCCATGAACATAAAATGTTAGTTATTTTTTGAATAAACTTCAGAAAGCTAAAACTTACATACAAATGCGAGAGAATATTACTGTTATATTTTATTCTTTCCAATAGTAAGACTTCATGTTTTTGTTTTAAAGCACTGGATGTAAAATAAACTACCTGTGCTCTTTCACCCAGCGAGACCCCCCCTCCTCTCTCTAGTCCTGAAAAAACTGGCCGACTTTGAACTCCCTCATGTGAGTCTCCGGAGCGCCGCAGTGGAGGGCTGCAGGGTCGGCCTCAGGAGGTGGTGAGTGAGGTTGCCGCGGGCACTGTGGCCCTCTCGCCCTTGCCGCGGGCACTGGCCGCTCTCGCCCTTGCCGCGGGCACTGTGGCCCTCTCGCCCTTGCCGCGGGCACTGGCCGCTCTCGCCCTTGCCGCGGGCACTGTGGCCCTCTCGCCCTTGCCGCGGGCACTGTCCACTCTCGCCCTTGCCGCGGGCACTGGCCGCTCTCGCCCCTGCGGCTCTCAGCCCCACAGCCAGCGAGAGACCAGGGAGGAGCCTGGGGACAACAAGGAGGGAAGCAGAGGAGACAGAGAGGGCGGTGACGAGGCTATTTGTCCTAAAGGGCAGGCTACGGGGATCAAGTGTATACTCAAGGGGGACCATGGAGGATGGTGGCCATGAAGGTGAGGCTTGAAAAACAAGGGCTGCTGGGGTTGGGCTGAAGCAGGTGACGTGAGGACCTGTGGGCCGTGGGCCGGCTCCGGAGTGCTTGCCGCCTGTGCTCATCGGAGGAATTCGCTGAGGGTCACAAGCAGGTCGGATCAGCAGTTGAACTGTGGTGGTCCCCAAAGGCAGGGTGCGGACTCAGCCCACGTGCAGTGCATTTGAACTCTAAGCAGTCAGCTTACCTTCCGAGGGGATTTCAACAGTAACTGTATATAGGCCAGGACCAGCCATATTCCTAGATCAAGAGGGCACCTTGCAGAAAATACTACCATCTCCCCCAGAAACAGAGGGCCCTACGGAGAGCAAATAGACAGAAAACAGCAAGAAGCAGGACACTGCCCTAACCCACCCCGCACATAACCTGTAACGTGCAGTTATTACCGCGGCGGTATTGGAGGCATGTTTGGTTCACCCTCTCCCAGCTCAGTTATTCTGTAATCTGAGCATAGGAGCTGGAAAGAAAGGCATTTTGAAATCTAGGAATAGTAGTTATTTTGACCCCTGCTAGAGCTCTGGTCTGTGGTTTTTAATTTTGGAAGGACATTCCCAGCAAGGCTAGAAGTTCAGTTACTGTTATGCAGAAGTATTCTGAGAAACGGTCAACATCTGTGGCATGGAACCCTGAGAAGGGAAAGAGAAACCCTTAGCAGTTCCCTCTAATGGTTTGCAGAGTAGCTGTTCTTCTGGAAGCCGCTTAGTGTAATGAGTGGCCGAGCACAGTTATTCCTGGGGTCAGAGTATGTGACTCTAAGTCTCAGCTCTCTCAGGAGTTAGCTGAATAACCTTAGCCAAGTTATTTAAGCTCTCTAGGACTCAGTTTCTCTATCTGTAAAATGGAAATAATAATATAGAGTCTACCTCAGGATTATTGTGAGGGTTAAGGAAGGCGGCCCCATATGCTCAGTAAGTTTTGGTCTAGTTTGTTATGTTATCTTGAGGAGGACAATGATGATAATCGTAACAACAGCAACAAAAATCCCAGGGGCTTAGACTTGTTGCCCATGAGCTCTCCAGAGAGCACGAGATCAAAGGAGAGGTGAGGATTCTGTTCCTCACCATGAAGCTTGAATCGAAAGTTGGGCTTTGCCTGTGTCTTCATTAAACAGGTGAATGCTAGATCCTGAGCTCAAGATAAAAGGACCTACCTGCAAGCCAGCGTCTCACATCCAGGCAGATTGCCTCTGCTCCTGGGAACTGGGAGGAAAGGAGGTCTCGCTTCCTGTTAGAGGCAGGATCAGGTCACGGGGAGGGGAGAGCCTGGAGCAGGGTCCTGCAGGTGCCTGGGCCACTGCCAGGGTGGCAACTCTGAACAGGACCCAGGCTCTGGGCTAGGGGTCCTCACACTTGGTATCAAGATCAACTTGATCAGAGCAGTGATCAGGATAAACTCAGGGTGCTGAGAAAGCACGGAGTGGGGGACGTGAGGAGGAGCTTGCCAGGAGAAGCAGACAGGTCAGGGACGGAGGCTCCCGAGGCCAGTGGTCTCCCGGCAGAGGGAGGGGAGAGAAAATGTGGTCCGAATGTGAAGTGTTGGGGAGGGGAGTGGGGTAAGAGATGGAGCTGGAAATGAAAGGAGGGTGACCTGTGAAGGGCCTTGGACGTGAGCAGGATAGAGGACCCAGCTGCTGGGCTCTGAGTCTGAAGGCTACTCGGGGAAGACCTCTCCTGTTAGAATGTGGAGCGTGAGACTGAGGGAACATGGCAGGGGCAGGAAGCCTGGTGAGGAGGGGACCAGAGCAGCTCAGGACGCGAGGAGGGTGGTCTGGGACAGGGTGGTGGGCGGGCGTGGGTACAGGCCAGCGAGAGTGCCAGGCACTGTGTTGGGGAGAGCTCACGCAGGACCCGGCGACTCAGAGCGGGGCCGCGTGTGAGCAGGGATCCCCCCGAAGCTTTATTTTTTGCATTTTCGCTCTCAGTGCCCTTCCGTGTAAAGAAAATAGGGAACAGAAGAGGTGGAGGGACAAACCGAAGGCTAGGCGAGCCGAGGGGTGGGGCTTTGTTCAAAAGGAAGCGGCCACCGCTTCAGAGCGCAGCGCTGCCAGGTGTCCCCATTCGCCGTGTCCTGTGAATCACCCCGTGCTCCTGAATCACGCAGGTACATGGACCCGACCCTCGACTCCCTGCTGATGGACTGCAGAGCAGCTGTCAATCTGATCTATCTGCAGGTGAGGGTGACCAAGAGCCATCAGCACCCCACATGTTACAGGCCATCGGGGTGTAAACCATTAGAAAACGATCGTAGTTAAGAATTCTCCCTCCAGGCCTAGAAGAGGCCAAGCCACAGAGGCAGGAAGCAGCACAGAGGCAGCCCGGGCTGGGGGGGGGCGTTATTGCCTGATGGGCGCAGGGTTTTGGTAGGAGTGACGACAGGGCTTTCGGTATGAGCGGTGGTGGCGACAGCGCTGTGAATGTAGAGCCACTGGGCTGCACACTTACAAATCGTTCAAGTGAAAAAATAAAACTATAGAGGAGTTTGGAGGGAAAACAAAGAATTCTACCTCCATTTTCACAATCACTGTCTGACTCTGCAGCTGACACGCCACCATCTAGACTGATTTTCGGGAGCCTGGAAAGACAGCCCTGATCGTTTCCGGTCGCACGTGGTTCCTCCGTCTCCCTTTACTGTCATTTCTTTTCCCTGAGCCAACAAGCAGCACTTGTGGCCTGTGCAGCTACGCTGGGCATGCGCTCAGGGGGCCTCGTGCTCGCTTAATGCTCTGCTGTCGCATCGTGAAATTCGTAATAATTTTTTTTCCTCTTAATAATTTTTGAACAAGGGACCCCGCATTTTCATTTTGCACTAGGCCCTACAAATTATGAAGTTGGTCCCTCCTGCCTACTTCTCAGCCCCCCGGAGAGTAAAGCAGAGTTTGACCTCTGGTTTGCCATTTACTTGTTGGCTTTGTTTTGGGGGCTTTTATGTGTAGAAGTTTTGTATTTTCATGTATTGCATATATTCCTTCAGATTTTGTTCTTTGTATCTTAAAAAGATATTCCCTACCTCAAGATCAGATAAAAATATTTACCTTTATTTTCTTCTGGTTCTTTTATGGCTTTTACACTTAGATCTTTCACGTATCTGGATTTATTTGATTGGGTGGTGTGGGGAAAGAGCTAATTTTCTTTTCCAAGTGTTGCCAGTTGTCCCCGAACCATTGAACAATCTCTTTCTACTAATTTAAAAAGTAACTTTTATAACATGCTGGGTTCTTATATATACATATGGCCACTTGGGTCTGTTTTTATAGCCTTTCATACATGAGTGCGTTTTTGTCAAATTAATTCATTTCTGCTCAGTTTGCTAAGTTTGCAATTTATGTTGTTTTAAGGCAATCCAGGACATTCAAAAAGAATGGGCCCAACCCACCCAGGCACAGAGGCAGAAATTAGAGGCTCTCCAGAAAGAAGACAACCAAATAAAGGTGAGTCAAATATTGCGCCAAAATAAATAAATATTGCGTCCTGGAAGGAAGTTAAAGAAACGTATCAGAATTGGGCTGTTTCCCTAATTTATAAACCCACCAAGCACTAAAAATAGGACTCTTACAAAATGAGAACACTCTTACTGATTTTTCTGATTATAAAATTAATAAAGGCTTTTTGTTCAAAGATTCTAAAATATACAGGCAATATATCGTGAGTCTTTTATCAAGTTAATTAATATAGACCCACAACTTTTTAATGGCCACACAGTATTCCATTTAATGGTTATGTTATTGTTTAGCAAACCAATATCCTATTGTTGGAAGTCAGAAACGGCCCCTGCCCTGGCAGGACACCTGTGCCCCCGGGCCTGGCTCGGCACAGGGCATTGCCTGCCTCCCTTCGCGTGCAGGAGAGGGGCTCCCTGCTCTCGGCGCAGGTGTCCTGCCAGAATGGCAGGGGCTTCTCACATGGGGTTTCCATCTGTTTCAAATGGTCCTTTGCTTCCCCCTCCATCCCCACACCTCCCTCTGGAGCAGTTTCTGGAGCTGTCCCGGGAGCTAAGGCACTACGGATACGTACAGCTGGACCCTTGTACCTGCGACTACCCCGAACCGGGCTGTGGGGCCCTTCTTGCCGTTGGCAATAACGAGATCAGCTGCCGGGTCACCCTGCCTGACAGCCAGACCCGGGACATCACCTTCCAGATGAGCCGAGTGAAGTGCTGGCAGGTCACTTTCCTTGTGAGTATCTCGGCACAGCCTCGCCCGTGAGTTCAAGTTTCCACTCATGGTTTAAAATCTTACTGTTTTTGGATGACACAGTTGACCCGGGAGACAGGTCTGCCATTTGAATCGCTACCTCGGGTGAAGGAGCACCTAAGCCACGGTAGGCATCACCCAGACAATAAATATGGTTAGCCATTCACCCAATGAAAGGGATTGGTCGTTTCCAGTTCTTAGATGTTTTGAATAAAGTTTCTATAAATATTCATGTACAGGATTTTGTCTGAGCACGGGTCTTTATTTCTCTAGAACAAATGCCCAGGAGTGCAATCGCTGGGTCATAGGGAAGGTGCCTGTTTAGTTTCTTTAAGAAAGTGCCAACTTGTTTTCAGGAGAGGCTGCACCAGCAATGTAGGAGTAGTTTCTCTGCATTCTCATCAACATTTGGCATTGTCACTGGTTTTTAGTTTAGTCATTCTGATAAGGGTGTAATGGTGTTTCATTGTGGTCTTAATTTGCATTTCCCTCTAGGTTAATGATGTTGAACATCTCTTCATGTGGTTATTTGTATCTTCTTCTCATATCTTTGGCCCATTTTATAATTGGATTGTTTGTTTACTGTTGAGTTTTGGGAGTACTTAATACATTCTAGATACTAGTCCTTTGTTGGATTTGGGGTATACAAATACTTTCTCTCTAGTGTTTCCTGTCCCCTTAACAGGTCTTTTGTGGAGCAAAAGTTTTTAATTTTGATGAAGTCTAGTTCATCAGTTTTTTCTTTTTAGATTGTATTTTCAGTGTCAAGTCTAAGAACTCTTTGCCAAACTCTAGATCCTGAAGTTTTTTCCCCTAGAGTTTATTCCTAAAAGTTCTGCAGTTATGGATTGTACATTTACACCTGTGATCCATTGTGAATAATTTTTGCATAGGGTGTGAAACTTAGAACAAGGTTCTGTTTTTTTGCCAATAGAAGTCCAATTGCTCCAGGACCATTTGTTGAGAAGGCTGTCTTTTCTAAACTGAATTGCTTTTGTACCTTTGTCAAAAAGTAATTGGGCAGCCCTGGCTGGTGTTGCTCAGTGGTGAGAGCGTCAGCCCAACCTCCTCTAGGCAGTAAGCTGAGTAACTGTAGGGCTACCTGATTAGTTATTATTCCCCCTGGGATAACAGTTCTGTGTTACCTGTCATTCACTGTCAGAAAACAGCTGTTTCCCAGTTCAGTTTTTACATCGATGCTGTCAGGCCAATATTTCCAAAATATAAATATAATTGTATTATTATATAGCTTTTAAAATCTTTTAATAAATGCCTATTGCCCTCAAGATAAAGTCTAGACTCCTTAATTTAGCTTATAAAACCTGTAACAGTTAGGGCTCTTTGGTGGCAAGCAACAGAAACTAACACCGTGGCTCTAGTGAAAAAGGAATTTATTGGAGAGAGATGGGGCAACCCATTGATTTAAAGGAAAGGTTGAAACAGAGGCTTAGGAACCAAAGGAGCTCAAGGTTTTTGGGCATTCTTTACCAGCACCTCCTCCTTGAGTCTGTCTGCTCTGGAATCAAATAAGGGGCACAGAGAGTATTTGTTCAATTGGTCTGAGTTTGGGTCATGTGACACCCTTCAGGAAGGCCGCATTCCCTGACAGTCCTACCTACATAGTCGTAGTGGATGAGAGATGGTTTTCCCATGGGAATATGAGACTCCATCCCTAGGAGAAAGAGAGATGGATGCTGTAGAGCAGAAATCACAGGTGCTTTGTACCAGGCTTTCAGTATCTGGCTCTAGCCTGCCTCTCTAAGCCTCTTCTCTCACCACCACCCCCACCCCCGCATGCCTTGCAGCTTGTGCCACTTAAACTTCTACTGAATATCAAATAATACCTTTTCCTCCATAGGGGACCCTGCTGGATATGGATGGGCCCCAGAGAACTCTCAACCAGAACCTGGAGCTCCGATTTCAGTACAGCGAGGATAGTCGCTGGCAGTGGTTTGTCATTTACACCAAACAGGTGAGTTCTCAGGTGAAAGCATGAAAACCTGTGCGGATATGCTCTCTTGCTTGCTGGGGTGGACACAGCACATTACCTCAACCCTTGCTAGTTACTAGAGTATGCTACACACTCTCTTCCTGGGCTGTAATACTCTTTTTTGGTTTTGTTTTATTTTCCTAGTCACCACAGCCTTCATATCAATTAGAAATGAATTTAGTTACCATATAACAGAAGACCACTCACAGTGGCTTAAGCCAAGGGTCAGTAAGCTTTTCCTCAAAGGGCCAGATGATAAATATTTTAGGTTTTGAGATCCATTTGGTCTCTGTTGCATCTACTCAGTAACATGAAACATTCTTACAAAGAGGATAGGATGTTTGCTGAGGCAAGATTTGCAGTCACTTGGAGAGACATAGAGAGCTTTTGGTAGGGAAACCACCCTCCCTCCCCTAGAATGCTAAGTGCAATCGTTAAATAGTTTTACAGTCTTTTAATCTAGTCTGTAGCAAATGAGTTTAAACTGCTATAGAGATGTATAATAAACATTCTTCTAAAGGGTTCCTAGTGAGGTCTCATTTCCTTTGTAGTGTGGGTTTGTTGATGTGCATTCATGGACTACTTTTGCAAAAGGCAGAAAAGTGGCTTATGTGCCTTGCAAATACGTACAAATGACAGCTTGGGCCCAAATCTTTTCTAGACCCTTTAAACAAAAGCTCATCCCCTTTATATTTAATAAACCTTACCTGGTTTAGAGCAGAGTCCTAAGCTACATATCTGTGTACACTGTATAGTAATATGGAATCTGTCTGAACCCCATGGAACACCATTAAACACCCTTCCTAGCTGCATCAGCCCGGGGCGTGTTGGTGAACTATTCCACCCCCTGGTTTCGTGCAGGTTACACATATGCACAGATACACAGGGCGAGTCCTTATCAAAACCCCGGGGGTTAACATTTGTGGTATAAAAACCTCACATCTGTCACTCTTTTCCTTATCAGTGGCAGTGCCTTTCTTCCCTCTTCCCACGTTTCTCTCCCCTTAAAATTAAATGAATTCCTACCATGCTCTACAGTCCTGCAACACTTCGGGTTGTTCCCTCTACGTAGCCCACTCTCCCTCTGATTATTTCTATGAACTATCCTCCAAGAGTTTTCTACATGGGCTACTACCCACACCTGTGTTTTCTCTCTCTTTTCTTCTCTCCATCACCCCTCTCCCAAGTAAAGCGGCCACCCTTGAGCACAAACTTATACTAAGGTCCTATAACCTCGGACTTTGGGCTTCGTTTGTCTCAAACCTTGGTGGGGCCCAAAGAAAAGAGAGCAAGCCGAGAATTGAGAGCAGGACAAAAGAGAGAAAGGATTAGTGGGAAAGGAGCAAATGGGAAAATCACAGGGAACCTTAGATTTGGCAACTAGGGCTGAAGACCCTGCAACGGGGGAGCCCCAGCTTTTGTGTAGCACAATGTATAACGTGTGTCTTGGATGAGCCAACAGTAAAGCTACAGGTGATACTGGGGACAGCTGTCAGTCCTGAAAGTGAATGATGAAGGATACCCAAAAAATAAGGAAGTGAAGAAAAACAATTACATTTTTTTTAGTTCAGTAAAAGTCATAAGGTGCTAATATATTCTTTCAAACAGACACGTTGCTGTTTATGCCTCATACTAGGTCTCTCAGTTATTATGCATACAGTTCACTATAAGATTGACCAACATCAGCTCATTTGATTACAGCGATAATCAGTTTTAATTATTTGTTGTTTATAAAACATGAGATGCTTACAAAGTGACGGAAAAAATGGGATGTGAGGGGGAAGTTTTTAAGAGTGAAAAAGATTAGTAATGAGATCCTGGCCATTTTTACCTGTCTTTTTAAAATTTACTGTAACTATATCCACATTATGAGGAAATGTTCCTTACTTGTTAATTACATCATATGCAAATTTATGGAAGTTAGAAAAGAATTACTATTGGAGGGCAGAGCTCAAGTCCACCGAGTGGTGAGGGCAGGGAAGGAAGCGAATGCAGCTCTCTTGAACTCAGAGACTTCTTCATTTCTGGATTTCTTAGGCGTTTTTGCTGAGTAGCTGCTTGAAAAAAATGATCTCAGAAAAGATGGTAAAACTAGCTGCAGAGAACCCAGAAATGGTAAGTGCTCTTCTCTGTGTGTATTTCTCACTTTAAGTTCCCACCATCAGCTGATGCTAAACTACACTCATCCACTCCCTGGGCCTCGAGGGAGGAATAGAGCAGTGAGCTCCTCTGCCCTCGGGGAGCTCAGTCTGTATAATTCAAGCCATTTTTCCAATGGCAATCATCCCTGGATGGCTGAGAACTCTCTAACCCTCTGCACCGTATCCTTGTATTTCTGCCTTCCCCCAAAAGGGAGAATCTGGATTTACCATAAACGCTGCATTATAAAGGCAGGGTCTTGAGAGGTCTTTAATGCAGCAGCGAAGATCTGAAAGGAGCTCTACAGTTTTGTCTCTAGAAAGAACCCCAGCCTGGCGATACTTCCACTGTGCCAAATTAAAAGGCCTGTAGCGGCTGGGAGAAGCCATTAAGTAAAAGAAGCTCTCGAGCCTATAATATTTCTCAATATAAAATTAAACTTTGTTTTTCTAGCTTAATGAAGGCCTAATAACTCATTCAAAGGGTTGTTGGCAGGCTGTAAAAAGACTTACTGAGGTACAGTTACTTTCCTACTTGCTTTGTCATCATTATGATATAAGGATGTCCCTAATAAAACAGTATAGTTTGATTTTTTTTTTTAGTGATTACAAATACTATTGCCTGGTTGACATTTATAAACATAATTCTTTTGCAGAATATTACCCTGATCTTTAAAAATACAACAGAAAACACTTGGAATTTGGAAATGAAAATTAAATTTTCATTTAAATTTAGTTCTTTATAAGAGAATGGATGACGTCTTTAGTTTAACATTGCTCTTTCTTGACTTTGCAGCTTTTTTTCTAAGAAAATAGTTTTATTTTATCTTTATTTCTCTTTCAGAACTGGAAATATTTCCTAGGGAAAAGACAAATGTACTGCCTCTTGGTGTTTAAACGATTCAAAATGTACTAGAGTAGCAAAGCAAAGCAATAAAAGAATCAGGGTGCTCTTTTAAAAAGAGTAATAAAATCTAACCTCTTAGGCAGGATGTACCCCCTTAGGCTCCAATGATTATATATGTAAAAAGGAGAAGACAGAGAAAAGTAACTAACTGAAGTAGTCCCATTAAAAGGGAGAAGTGCCCTCAAATGTGTTTGAATAAAATGTCAGCTACTGGATGCAAGGAAATACTTGTACAATGACTAGCTAAAGAGTTCGCTCAATAATAGGAGAAGGTAGTTGACCTGTTTCAAGTTTTCAAGAAAAGCAGCCACACTAACTACATTCCTTAGAGCTGCACACAAGCTGAAATGCAAGTTTATCCCTATGGCTGATGGCAAATTCAGCCTATTAGTATTTATGTTGCTTTATCCAAATACTCAACAAGTTTTATTTCCTCAGACATTTTCAAATTTCTCATCTTTGTTCTTAAAAAGACAAGTTAGGACCCTTTGTCTTGAACACTAGGCTTTCAGGAGGATGTTATAGGGACAGTCCACGTTTCAATCTGGAATTTCATCTACAAATCCTTGGGCAGAATGGGACCCTGGCAGGGGAAAAAAAGATCAGCTGTTTGAACTTCAGCTGATTCTGGGCTTCCTGTCAAAGTGCAACTGGTGAGAACAAGATGTACTTTGTGTAGCTTAAAGGAGCCATATACATGTGTGACTGTTGGGGTGGGGCGTGGGTGGGGTGGAGGGGGGAAAACAGGAGTGGGGGGATATCTGTA